CACCACCGCAACTAGGAGATGCATAAACGGGAAAGAACTGGAAAGAGTCCAGAAATTCAAGTACTTAGGTGCAATCCTGACAGAAGATGGGAAATCTGAACGCGATGTGAAGATTAGACTAGCAATGGCAACGAGTACACTGACTAGGTTGACGACCATTTGGGCAAGTAGAGGGATTTCAGAGAAATCGAAGATCCGTCTTCTCAGAACAATTACCGGGTGAGACAAAAACAACGCGCCGCTCTGAGATTAATTGGAGTTCATGAGATAGAAGATAGCACGGTAAATTCTTTTTTTGCAACGACTTTTACATATCCTTGAAACGTCCTAAAATTCTTGTTCGTTTTTCTCCAGCCGATTTAGCATATGAGCGAAAACGCTAAAGCAACTCGAATTTTATTTTTGCGCGAGGAAACGTATCAGCAGAAGCGTAGTTGGTAGGTGTGGAGTGCACAAATCTCGGGCCAGAGCTCCTCCATCTCCCCATGAAAACGCTGCTCTTTGCGAAAAGATGGAGTGGGCAAGATTTTGCAAGAATTTTAAGGTAGATGATGAAAGAAATGTAGGCCTGTAACTTTTAGAGATTGATTCACAAGCTGCAAGGAACCGGTTTATCTGAGAGGAAGCGAAGCAGCGGAAGACTAAAATTAGCCGGAACTGAGGGAAACTGCGTTCATGTGGAAGAAGTCATTGTTCGTCAAGACGATAATCCTGGGATGCAAAATTATTATATGCAAATTGCTAGACGTGAGGACGAGTCAGAGATCTGCTTATCGAGTTCTGAAGTGCAGAGGAAAAAATCGTGAGAGTAGATGTCATTCCGAGTGGGTGGAACAGGTCCTCGCGTCAGCGTCCAGGTACTAGCGCAAAAATTAAATTCCAGTAGCTTTTGTAAAATCACTCTTGTGCCAAAACGGCTGGAGATAACAGCCAAAGTTTTTAGAATTCTCAAAGAATCCGTAGAGGTGTGTATAAAAGGAATTTCATAGTTCTAGCTGCTGTTTCAGAGGTGCCACAAAATTTCAAAGGGCGGCGCGTTGTTTTTTGTCTCACCCGGCATAATGGCAACGACACTCTACGGGGCCAGACGTGGATATTGACAAAGAAACTCGCAAGGAGAATAGAGGCATTTAAGATGAGATGCTTTCGGAGACTGCTCAGAACACCGTACACAGCACACCGAACAAATGCCTTGGTAAGAGAAGAAATCACGCAGAAGACCGGTGAAATTGAGACGACAATAACGATCGTGAGGCGCTTCCTGCGCCTCGCGATCGCTATTGTCGCTACAGTGGTTTGGTCACATCTGTCAAAGAGAGGGAAGCCTTGCAAAAACAGTCCTACAAGGCACGGTTGACGGCAAGAGGAAGAGAGGAAGATCCAAGATGAGTTGGGCAGAGAACATCAAGGCCGCGGGATGGAAGAATTGGTACGGACAGCGAAATACTGGGACAGGTGGAAAGAAATGATTGCGGTGGTTTCAACGATGCCCCTACGACCAATGTGGTCAAGGGACTGATGAGAATGATGAAATTGAGAAGATATAAAACAATACAATCAATTCAGATATTGGAAAACATTTAATTAAGTTTACATGTTCCAGTGACTTTTGACCCGAAGCATGACCTTGTAGAGATAAAGTCAGGCAGATGTCACTTTTACATTGTAAAGGCCCATATTTTGGCAAGAGTTCAGCAAAATTTATTAGCTGCAATTACTTTTCGTTCCACTGCAAAGAATTTCAGAGCTTTGCTCATTTTCAAAATACATTTGGAAACACTAAACCAAGCATGGTCGCTTCTATTAGGGATAATGTGTAGTAGTCTGGGATATACATAGTTGATCTTATGCTATCAGTTGATCTGAATCATGAGGAAGTGTGGCTTTTCTTCACTCAGTGTCACCAGGTGGTCCGTGCAAGAAAAGAGGCATTCAGGTTGTGACAGAGAGAGAGAAAAGATTACTACTTCTGCTTGCTATTGCTAGTTCACTATCTAGTTCACTAACTGTTGAATCTATAGAATTTGATCTATTTAGGTGCTCAAAGGGCAGTCAAACTCTCAAAGATTCATGCAGACACAATCAAGTCGCAATTAATGAAGAGGCAGAATGAAAACTGCAAGTGCAATGCATGATGATAAAATTAAGAAAACCTAATTTCCGAATTAAAAAAGTGCATATTTTCCTACCAGCATCATAGATTTCAATATCTGGTGACCTCAGTACACTATGTTATGGTCTGCCTGTCAGGAGAAAGATATGAGGGAATAAAAAAAAAGAAGCTCCATACACCTTTACATTCAATTTTCAGGATAATAGAGAAAACTGCAGCTAAAAAACGTTGCCCCACTCTTGTCAATATATACTGTATATGCTTAACCCTTTAAGATCTGAATTTAAAAAAGATCAATTACTTAGAAATAAATTTTCCTCATTCATCCATTCACAATAAAATTACATTGCCTACAAAATACAAATTCCAAAAAAAGGTCACAGGGACTCAGGAGTCTTACTATGCCTGAAGGTCATACATTCCTACATAACCCTACAAAATATGCTATAAAAAATAATTTAGGACTCTTGAGCCCTGCTGGGTATTAAAGGGTTAAATAATAAAAGTTATACCTGCCTGATATTCACAAAGTCATGCTCAAGTTCAAAGATCATTTGAAAATAGAAACTTGTTCAAATGTTTTCTAATCTGTTCTGATTGCATCTTCTCAGGTTCCTCTTTGAAAAGGACACCTTGTTCATCAAAACTGTGCCATAATTTATGATTTTGATATGATATGATAACCCCAAACATAATTTGATCAAATTTTGAGATGGTGGCCATCATCATCAAGTCCTATTGGGTGGTTTCACATGGAATGACCCTGTCATGCGACAAATTTAATTTCCAGTATGCATTTCAGTTGCAGATAATCCATTTTCTGTTTTATGATGATAAAATATAGAGAAATTCTGAAATCCAGTTGAAAGTTGCTAAAAATGATTCTTATATATACAAAGCCTGCTGAATATCATACAAATGATGAAATGTAACCCAAAATGCTCATTTTCAAAAGCAAGGCATCAACATTCACCCTCCAGAATGTAAAAAAAAGGATATGTCCTGACTAAAAATGACTAAAAATCATATAAAACAGGGTTACAAGAAGAATAAAAGAAACAATTCTAGCTTGGCAAAAATTACTCCTGTCATGAGATATCTTTTACACTAGGAATAGGCTCAACCATCCACCTCCAAAGAATGTAACAGTTGCTGCCTACAGGATGGGCCTAAAAAAAAAAATTTAGTCCTTTTTCATTTGATTGTTGCATCTGTATTCAATGAGATGCACTCATTCTATTTTGGGGATCATCAGTAAGGGAGGGTGGGGCACCATAAACCACAACAAACCACCTCCTGCAGCACCTTGAAAATCAAAGATGCTGTCATGAAATTCACATGCATGCCTCCTTATGCCAGTGCAAGTTTATTCTAGTGGTCTGGAGTCATTTTGTGCTATTGTTTCCATGTATTTTGAAAGATTAAGAAAACTAAGTTCTTTTTTTTTTTGGGGGGGGGGGATGTCATTAAAACAATTTTGGCTTAGGAGGACATAAGGAATGGTGGTTTTTTGCAACTAGACTATGCTGTAGTCCTGTTACTTAGCTAAATTTTGATGTGGTGCATGTTTCACTATGATATTTTCTTTTCTTGCCATGCATAGAATTTTAGAAATTGCCAGAGTGGGGTACCATGGACCATGGTTGATACATGGTCCATGGTGCCCCTTATGATGATACCATGGACATTGTAACAAATGGATTACAGCAGCCAAATACCATAGCAAAAACCCCTGAATTCAGACACAAACACAGAAGTTGGCTGTAAATGTGTCAAGAGCAGCAGCATCGGACAATTGATGACTGGAAGTGATATGATCTGATGAGTCATGGTTTATTTTGTTCTGCCTTGATGGATAGGTTCATGTATGGAGAAAACAAAAGGAAGCCCATCACTCAATATGTATGGTGCAAAAAGTTCAGGTTACCAATGAAGGGAGTCAAGGTGTAGGAATGTTCTTGTGGCATGGCTGGGTCCTTTGGTCCTGGATGGCTGAATAACCTGGGTGTACTTAACCCATTATAACTGGAAGGTCATTAAATCAACCACTTGACCAATCTAACAGCTGTTTCTGATGAAATTGACTCGTGATGAACAGACATGGGACTATAATGATCACACTCACAGCTGAAATGAATTTAAATGCACAAAAAAAGTAGCCATCTTAGCTTAGGCAAACAATTCCAGTGCATCTGTAGAAAAAAAAAGTAAGAATCCTGGCTTTAATGGGTTAAGTGTCATTGCTGATCAGGTGCACAATGATGCACTTCTACCCTGATGGTGATCACTACTTCCAGGACAATAATCCAACCATTCACTATACATATGATGTCCTCAAATGGTTTGAGGAACATCATGGGGACTTCAGGCATCTTTCATGGCTGGCACAATCCCTGAATCTCAATCCAATTGAGAATTTGTGGGATGAACTTTCACAGTGCATACATTGCCATATACCTGCCAACTTCATTGCATTGGTTGAGTGCACTAGCAAATGGGGTGATATTCTCACAGACACCTTTCAGCATCTTGAGAAAATCCATTCAACTTGCAGCTGTCATTGTGGTCAGTTTGACTTACTATTAAACTGAGGTCCCAATAATGTGGTTGAACAATGTAGCATGTAGATGTAACAATACACATTCAACTGTGATATTCTACCTTGTGCCTTAAAAAAAAATATTTTGCCAGTCCTAGTTGTATTTTATTGAAATAAAGGTCAAGGAAGAGTGAGACTAATGATCCTACAAGTTGCATGAGCATACTTCAATTAATGAAGATATAGCAATCAAATTTAAAAAGTGAACTTTTTCCTGGCCCATACTGTATATATGTTGTCCCTTATACTGCTTCAACAAGTGCCAGTGTCTGCTAATAGTGAACTTACTTTGGAATTTCTTGCATGTTTTTTTCAGAGTGTATGAGTTGATCGATGAGCTCCCTTCGAAACCTGTGCTTTAATGGTTCTGGCTGCTCTTGAGCTTCTAGATATTCCTGCTTCAAGCATGCATATTGAAGGGACAATCCATACCAATCTGCTTCATCCTCCTGAACAACAACAGGAGACATCACATCACATCCAGATGCTGCCATCTCATCATAACCAGAATAGCAGGAAATGTGATAAGCTCACAGGGATGGAATATTGCTGGTACTTATCATATACTTCCTTTTGTTTTTTGGGATCATCTGGATACAAGTTCTTCCTTGCAATTGATAAAAGCAACAGCCGCTTGATTGACAGGGCTAGTTCTGACTTGAGGTCTGCAGCAGAGGTCTGGAGAAAAAGTAACATTCAAGTGATAAGAGGAAATCAATAAATGCTATAAAAGATATGAGTTTGACCACATTGCCTGGAGGAGGTAATTGTCAAAGCCAGCATGGGCATCTATGAGCCTGAGTGTGCGATCAGTGACAACAAGAGACATGTGCTTGTCCAGAATCTCACTGTAAACAACAGTGCGAATGAGTGTGGGCGCCCACCAATGTGGGACTCTCCTCTTCCTGTAAACTTTCTTCTTGTAACCATACACAACACCTTCTCCTCCCCAAATACCTTGGTTATGCTCCTTGGGATAGGTGATTGGGATAGGGATGTTCTCCCTCCTCTTGCTATATGTAAAAAAAAGGTACAAGTTCTACTTGCAAAGACTGAATTCCCAAAGGAAATTTATGCCAGGAGCAATAGCAGTCTTGGAGAAAATATGACAACTTACATTTCACCTGTCTCCTCATGTCGATACAATAGGACTTCATTAGGCTTCCAATGCACAGGGATTTCAGGCCCATGTTTCCATTCCTCATAGAATTTTTTATAGTGTTCTGGAAGTCGTGCTAGAACACCCTTGCTCCAATCAATCTTCTTTCTGATTCCCAAGTATCTTGTATAGTCCAACACATAGTGATGGCGAGCAACTGCCATGTCAGACAGTCTTCTGCATAATATCTTGAGGTTTTCTTAGATTTTAATCCTATGGGACAGCAGAGAGATTCATTGCTTGCTAAAAGACTGCATAGTACCTGTCACATGAACATCAGTCAAGGGTACTCAACTAGCATGTGGGAAGGTTTACTATATTGACATCCCAGAGGTCTGAGATCAAAATAAAAAGTACAAGGCAATGGCTGTTTATCAGAAAAAGACTAATTTATTTCAAGCATTAGCTACAAAACTTGTTGATTGGGGGGGGCCCACCCCCAGCTTTCCTATTAGATTTTTATTGCCATGGGTATAAATGTAGGCTGAGGAAGTACACTGTGTGTCAAAAAAGGGGGGGCCACTTAATTATTTAAATTATCTTGATATTATTTTATGTGTGCCTCACATTTTCAGGACATGAAATCTTAGACAAATAAGAGAGATTTCTGCCAAGTTTAATACTTAACCAGTGGTCCAAATGCAATAACTTTTCAAAACTGAAGCATGAAAAATTTTCAGTGAACAACCAATCTACTCACTGCTCAGCACCAGGTGCATTTTTCAGTTTTCTCCAACACAGCTGAACGCAGATTGCAGTCTCAGTGAAGAAACTAGTTTTTGATACTTCTTATCCTGTTTTCATAGTTACTTCATAGTTACTAGTAAATCGCCCCCCCCCCCCAATCCAATTGAGCACCTGGATGAAACACTTTTCAGCACTTTTCAAACCCAGAACCCACCCCCCTTTCGCTATTCCACAGCTCCACACCACCCCACTACTTCTCTCCTCTAAAGAAAGCCTCTGGTACAATGTACCATTCTCGGAGGAAGAAGTGAAGAACGAGATCCTCAGAATCCGTGATCGGAAGGCTCCAGGAACAGACCAAATTACCAACGAAATCACAAAAGGCTCAGCGGGCATTTTGTCAAACACATGGACAAGGCTCTTCAATGCATGCCTCCTATCAGGCTCTATCCCGGAGAGTTGGAGGACCAGTATCATGCGGGTACTCCACAAAGGAAAGGGAGCCTTAAACGACCCCAACAGCTACAGAGGTATTGCCCTGCTCCCAGCTCCCTTCAAACTATTCACTTGACTAGTCAACAACCGCATCATCTCAAACACTTCTCACTGCTTCCCCGACGAGCAGTTCAGCTTCCGGAAAGGCCAAAGCATTGACGATCCCATTCGCATCCTGACCTCGAGGGCAGAGGAAGAACTCGCCAAACCCAGGGGAATGTTATATGCTCCATTTGTGGATTTCCAGTAGGCATTTGACTCCATCAGCCGTTCCCTCCTACTGCAGAAACTCCATGATGAATTCCATATCGGAGGCCTCATCCTCAATATAATAGCTGCGATCATCGACACCAACTACCTCCGCATCTTGGATGGTCTGAGAATCTCGTCCCCATTCTCCCAACGGAAAGGAGTGCTCCAAGGAGACAGCCTAAGCCCAACCCTCTTTGTCACATACATATCAAGCCTGGCGAACGCCCTCAAAAGGGCTGCCCCGACCATACAAGTGCTTTTCTACACCGACGATCTTGTCCTCTTTACACCCTCCCGGGACGACCTCCAATCTGGGCTGGATGCGCTCCTGGCATGGTTAAACATTAACTACCTGCAGGTGAACATCGCAAAAACAAAAATGATCAAGTTTAGAAAAGGCAGCCTGCTAAGTATGACTGACTCTTTTGCACTTGGGATGCACCACTGACCACCCACTGTCATGGATTTATGACGAATTAAAGCATCATTCATAGTTACTTGGGTTACATGGGTTCAAGTTGCATTTTTTTAATGTTATTATTAATTTTCTGAAGGCCTAACTCCCCACTATTCTTCAGTTTTTGTCATGTCATGAATCACAGTATTCAAATCTATATAGAACATCATGTGATTCAGAGAAGAGGACAGGCACCTGACCAAAAGCTTGCAGTGATGAAGGGGTACAGATCTCAACTGATTCATGAATAAATTCTTCGGGGGAAAAAAAAGGTCACATCATTATCTTGATAAGTAGTTGAAAAAAATTGCTGGAACTGTATCAGGTGGAGGAAAATGTGGAAAGAGCAAGTCACACAGAACCCAAGCTGCAGAAAATATTGAGACTGTAGAAGATTTTGCCCTCAGATAAAAAGGGATCAAACTCAAACTCATTGAACAATGAATATGATAAAAGGAATTTATCAAAACCAATTTCATGAGTGAGACCGCCTGCTGCCTGCACTGATATTTTAAACAGCACCAAATTGATGCACTTGGCTAGAAGCAGAGAGCAGGTTGCTAGTTCACTGTGATTTTTGATACTTCAACTTTGAAAAAATTTGCATTTGAAGCACTGGATGAAATTCTTTACACTTTACACAATCTGTCTTATTCACCTAAAATGGCATGTGCACAATATTGGATGGAGATTTTAAAGAAAATAAACTGGCTCTCTTTCTTTTCAGACACATTGTAGATTTAAAAAAAAAAACACACATAAACTAGGAGGATCTGCAATAAGGTGACCACTTGACAGCGACAGAAATCAATGATCAGGACTTGTAAAATTCTAGACAAAAACTTCTACTTTTAGGCACTTGATGAGAATGAAAAACATTCCATCAGAAAATATCTTGAAGCAACACTTCAAGAATCACTGAACAACCATCACTTCTGCTTGAAGGATTATTTTTCATCAGTAACAACTGGTTTTTGCATCATTCAACAAATATTTGTAAATTCTCAGCAAGAATAGAAAAATCTGGCCTGCATGAGGCTCTGCATTTTTCAGCCTCAGCACCATTTCTATGAACTTTTTAAGAGAATTTAATTGAAGAAAGTATGCATTCTGCATGCAGATTACTTCCAATGACCAAATGGAAAAGTCCTGATGGCAAGCAGTGCAAGATGCTTTATGAGCATTCTTAGTGAGATTTCAAGAACCAGTGAACCACATTGGCCTGTTTCCAATCAGCCACTATGGCATCAGTTGAAATGAGGATACACAATTTTTTTTTTGTGCTATCATCGACTCCACTCACTGTAACATTATTAGAAACATGGTCAAAAACTTTCAAGTTTAATCAGGAAAACTTACTTCTCTGTCTTCCTTGAAAATCTTTCCTTCCACTGTACTACTCCATTCCAAGAAAAAAACTGAGTGTACTCCCCAATCTTGAGTGGATATTGCCCCCTCTCTCCTTGTTCATTACTTGAAATTCTGCACACAGATCATGACAATTTTCTAATGGTTGGAAGATCTTAGTTCCCCTTGGTTTAAGATATCACATTCACTGCCAAAATTGACTATGGTTCATTTACAAAGCTCCTGCTAAGAATGCCATCATCGATTTAGGTTGATTTGAAAGGTTATGCACATATAACCCCACAGTGCCCAGAGATGGCATGAAAGGTGATGTTGCTGGTATCCAGGGTTCTCCTCAGACACTATTTGATGCTAATAACAGCACTTAGCATTTTTTCAGTCTTCCAGTTAGCCACAATCCCTCTTTAAAGGTCCAGTGGTGAATGTGATATAATACATGACAATTCATGCAGGAATTTTGATAAGGGGCAATTGAGGAAAGATGGAAGGGATCATCCTGTCCACTACTTCACTGATCAGTTTTTTTTTTTTTGAATGGTGTATTTCATGAAGGAAGTCAACTCCTCCTAATCCTTCAGTATGAGAGACCAGTCTTCTGTCAGCCATATTAACCCCTTTCCACATACCTTGTTAAATATAATACAAACCATCAAATTGAATATATCTGTGTGATGTCTGAGCTATTTCAACAAAGTGCATAAGGTGGTACTTTAGATACAAAGCTTCCAATATGTCTGTAACATGCGGCCATCTGGTCACTAACTGAGCAAAACTCTACTTCTGCTGCATATAATTTTTTCATGACAAAAGAAAAATTCATGCAGTAAAGGAAGAAATAATGTTCCAAGGAAGCCATGGAAACCAAGTTCCCAGACAAAACCTGGGAACTACTGGCTGTATTTTTTACAGTGCTGAATCACTCCTTTCCTTGGTCACTTTGGCTTCCAGCCATCATACATAGTGTGGGACAATGCATGGGCAAGTACAGCAAACATAACCCTTCTTCTATTTCCACTAATCAGAAGGGGGGGGGAAAGTAGCAACTTACAGGCAAGACCAATGATGGACAAATTCTGGGCATGACCTAAGAATCCTGACAAATAGAATCTTGACCAAAAATTTTTACTGGTGAAAATTCAAATTTTTGAGCTGTATAGGCAGAATGCTGGACAGGTTGTTACCCCAATCAGCAATACTCAGGGTGGAAGCTCAAAGTTCAGATCTGGACTGTAGTCCATAGGTTGAGCACCTTGATATAAGCAGATCCTGGATTGTCATGGAATACCTCCACAGGCAACTGATTCCATTGCATCTGTGCTCCAAATGAGCAAGACAGGAAGGAGACTCTAGTCCTAATATCCAAATTCAAACAAGGAATGTGGTATGAAAAAAAAACCTGTATTGACAGTGGAACCAATCAAGAAAAATAGAAAAAGATGGACATATTATGTCATTTATCTTTCCTTGACTCCAGTTGAGACTTAAGGTTTTGAACTTCCTCCAAGTTGCTCTTGACAATAGAGACAAGCTGGCAGATCCCTGATTGCTGGTCCTTCAAGATCTGAAATCAAACTTTGTAAACTCAAAGACCACACTGAAAGAATGAAGATTGCTTCTCACAATTTATTAAATAAGCTGACCTCTTTGATATCTGCCATGACTGCCGTGTCAAAAGTGAGCTTTGATTCAGAGGTGGAGGTTCGACTTATAGAGTATTGGCCTCCACTCATACGAATTCGAGAAAGCATCTCACTCAGTCGTCCTCGGGCTTGACCTGGTGCTTCCAGGGCCCGAAAGACTGCCTCTAAGCGAGACCCAAACTGTTCCTCTTCCAGCTGCAAGGACATCCCCAGTCTTCTCTTCACCTCTTGAGCACATATGAGCTATGAAGTCCACATGATATCATTGCAATGTAGTCCACCAGCTACAGGGAGAGGTGGTACTGTTAGTTATCCTCAAATACCTTCAGAGTACGATGAGAAAGTTCCAGCTGCTTTCTCTTGAGCTGATCAACTCGAGCTGTTGTCATGGTTGAATGCTTTCTTTGCAGTTCTGAAATTTCATTGGCAATCATATCCATTCTTCCCTGATGCTGACGAGTTTCAAGTTCTTGCAATTTCAGCCTTCTATTGAGCTCCACAAAGCCAACAAGGGGGATCGGGATCAAGTTCTTTGGATCAGGGTTATCTTTCTTGGCCTGTTCCCACAGTATATTATCAATACCTGAGATGAGAATTAAAAAATATTTGATTCACAAGTTCTACTGAATCCATATGTTTCTTCACTGTGGGCTAAAACTGACACCACACAAGAGATCAGTATGGTTCCATACATTTGGAATTTGTCAAGGTCTGGCAAGGAAGTAGGCTTATTCATGACCAGATTTAGTATGTGATAGAAAATTCAAGCAGAATAACAATTTTGAATATGCCCACCCACCACAATTGACCACAGTAAGCAGTGGAATGGTTTCTTGCAGCACTCAAAAAATGGCAAATAAATAGTGAGTCATGGTGATTTCCATTTGAAATGAAAGAGTGCAACGAAGCACCATCCCAGTGAAGTTCCAGTGCAAAAGGTTTAACTCTTCTGATAAGAATATAACTTAGCTGATGCTCATATATGGATGAATTGTCAGCCTATCAGCATAGCCTGCACAGGATAGTGTCTTGGCTCATTCCACACTACTAAAGCTGTCATCAAATACTTATTGCATGTTGAAATTGCAGATGTTTTGTACTCTCAAGATCATGACTTGCACGGGCAAGATCTTATAATCATTCTGCTAATTTTATATATAACCACAATAATAGGCCCCTTGCAGTGATAGTCTCTCAATCATGATTTAATTTAACAGTTTCAGATTATTGTAGAAGTGGGAAAGGCAAGGGAAACTCAAATTCTTATCAAAGACTCAATGAGAAATCCCCTCAATCAAGTAGGTGATACAGAGGGCAAAACTTTTGGTTGCTCAGTGGAGGACTTTCAAGACTCAAGCACCTTCACTGTGACTATTGTGTCAGCAGTATTTTCCTTGGAAGATGAACCATAGAATGAACATAACCCAACAGTTCAAATTTCCATTAAAAAGGAACTCAAACTTACTCTCAGAAGTCTTCCATTGACAACAGCATGGTGGAAAACAAGGAATATTATGTGTGTCACTGCTAAGCTAAAAATCCCAGCTGGAAACAGTTTCAATTACCAGCTGGGAAACTGTTGGAAGATAGAGCTAGATCCATGCTGGATCCCAGTTAAATTGAGAATGGCTCCATCATCCATTTTCTGGTTTTGTCCAGCTATGGAAGCAGAAGAATTACAACTGCAAATTTAGTCCTATTACAACTGAAGCATCCTCAATGTAAAATCCCAGCTAAAAAAGGAAACAGCCATAATCCAGCCAAGAACTGACATGGATCCAGGATTTCCTAGCTATGTAACAGCTGGAATGGTTCTGATTTTATAGCTATGGTCAAGCTGGGATTTTAAACAAAGCATCTGTCGAAGTTTAACCCATTGCACTCCACTGTTGTGCCCCCTTGTGACATAAACAGCACAGTGATGGTGCATGGGTCACAATAGTGGAGTGCAAAGGGTTAAAGATCTTGCACCTTGAATAGGGATGAGCAGCCAATGAAACAGTTCCAATGCAACACCACCAAGTAATATGAACAATGAAAACAAATTTTGTACATTGATGCAAGGTAATGCCACTGATGGAATTCACCATGATGTACAGGGTGATCCAGAAGTCATACAACCCTTATTAAATGTACGGAAAAAAACAGCCTGTCTCACAAAAATGCTCAAAGAACCAAGCTATTGTTGATTAGTTTGGTTCAGGTGTGTCCAGAAACACTTGCCTAAATGCATCCTGACATGCTAGGTAAGATTAAGATATGAAATAATGCTTGAGAATAAAAACGTGGCATCTTTCTAGATTCATAGTTAACTCAATAATTTCAGGCTACAGCTATTCAAGGCCATGCACATAACCTCATGCACATGCATATTCAGACCACTGTTGTCACCTCAAAGACTACCAAAAATATTTGTTTTGTCACATACAAAAATACATTTGATGAGGGTTGGATGACTTCTGGATCACCCTGTATATGGAGCTTTGTTTCACCTCTAGGAGGAGATGCAAGGTACTCTTGAAGTTGTTGTTCAGATGGACTACACTTGATGATCATGTCAACAATGGCACATTGGGTTTGCAGCTGGCTTTTGATTGTGCCCTGCTGAATGCGATCAACCAGGTCGCTAGCTGGAACTCTCCTTGTTCCACCTCAAAATAAAAAACAAATTTAAGAAATGAAGCCCTTTGAATACCCATCCTATCCAAGGAGGCTAACCCATAGTTGTCTTTTCTTGGACATAGATGGTGATCTCAGTCTTGTCATCTGGCATGGCCCGGATGCCTTCAATGACAACTGAGAAATTTTGTTGCTGTGTTCCGAGTCCCATGGGTCCTGCAATAGACTTCTGGATTCCATCTGCTATGGCTGCTTGATTCAAGCTGTGAATAATTATGAAACTTACATAAAATCTAATCCTGACATTTTCAGACTGAGAACAATGAACATCACTTACTTGACATCACCAACTGGCTTATTTAGGATAAATCCCACATAACCATCTTCATTCTTGGAAGATGGGAGCCGAGAATAGCCAATGGCTTTGAAGCGACAGAATGGATTGTCTGGTTTGAATTCAACAGGAGGAGCATTGGGGGAATGCCACCCTTTCCCAATGCCCCATGAAGCTTGCAACTGATTCCACTTGGCCATGATGTTGTCTCGCTCATCACCAAACATCCTTGGATTCAAAATGGCAGCTACAAGAGTTTCAAATTCACCCAATCCAGCTGCAAAGGACATAAAAAGAGTTCCTTAACAGATCAGCACATGCAACACTCTGCCAAGGGTAATCTTCAGGAGAAGATAAAAGGTTGTGTCTCACTCTGTCCAGTGGTTGTGGGTGCTGCAGAGGAGAATCCAAATCCAGTACTAGGAGCAATCTTTGCACCAGAGCTTCCAAATCCAGAGAATAATGAACCACCAGCTGTTGTGGTGGCAGTGGTGTTTGTACCAAAACCAGATCCCAAACTGAATCCTGATGATCCCATTTGGCTCCCAAAGGCAAAACCAGGGGCAGCAGTTGTTGCAGGAGCTCCAAAACTGAAGGATGGAGCTGTGGATGTGGTTGTAGACGTCCCAAATCCAAATGAGGCAGTTGTAGTTGTTGGTGGACCAAATGGAAAACCAACTGATGAAGATGTAGTCCCAAAGGCTGGAGCTGACGAGGGCTGATTATTTCCAAATCCAAAAGTTGGTGCACTTGATACTGGGGTAGGCCCAAATCCAAATGTGGGTGCAGCTGTTTGATTTCCAAATTTCAAGGCTCCTTCATGTAAGAAACAGATCAAAGTATTAAACTTACTAATGCCTGTTTCATTTTGAGTTCGAAAATATTTTCAATTGATGCTAAACTCTAAGCTGAGCATTATTGAAATCAGCATAATTGAATTATTCATTAATAAACAACTAATACAAGGTAGTGGCGATTGGTAATGATAAAGATTAACTGAAATTTAAAATGTCTGCTACCTGATATTATGATTCATGCCTATTGTAAGTTAATTTTATTACTATTACTTGATAAAAAAAAATAATCTCCAGAAATAAACAAATACTTCTGCTCAAGGCTAGTATGGCCTAGGCTGCACCAGGAATATATTTTTTATATAGTTGCTGAGTTTATTATGACCACTGGGCCAGATTCAAAATGATCACTATATCAGGCAGCAAGTTTGTGAAGTAACTAATGATATATTCTAAGTTTTTTGACTGCCCCTCTCTGCCCAACCATTTCCATCTCATTCTTTGTTGAAGCTTTTTTCTTCATTTGTGAAAAACTTATAGCATACAGAATTTTGGGTGGATGTTTTCACTTTTATTGAGCAAGGAAGTTGAGAATATGATTATATATTTTTGGTATGAGCCTATGCTCAAAAGACTATTTTACAGGAGCACAGGCCATAATCCTTATTTTTAATTAGCTATAGCTATCTAACCTGATGACTGCAACTGATCTGTAAGAGATTAATCAAAATAACTGGCAACAATTATTTGGAAAAAGTCCTAAGCAGATTGGGTTAGCAAAAATTGGTCACATAAAGCAAATGATCAATATATCTGTAATCATAGTAAGTGTCAGCAAATGTATTTCTAGTCAAGGGCAAATGAAACTTTGTGAAAACATCCCTCAAAACTTTACTCCAGAATTTTCTTCCTGAGTCAGCCTGGCATGTGATTTTTGAAAGGAAAATCCCAATCTTTTTTTTTTTTTACAAATATCAGTCATGAAAATACATGGGGACAATGGATTGTGGATGTGACCTAAAAATTCAGAGAGGAATTTTGAAAAGATTGAAAAGAAGAGTAGATGCTAGGTACCAGAACCCACCAATAACAAATGCTGTCATTTATTGACAACTTTTCTATAGATTACTTTACTTCTCTAACCAACATGGTTACTCTGAATCCTTGATTTTGAAAAAATGTTTGGCATAAAAGAGCCAAAAAATGCAAGAGTCAGCCAGGATGAAATACAAAGTATTACATGCTTTTGGGATGAAGATAGAGCTCACATATCAAGTAAGACCATGCAGAGCTGGTCTCTGCATCACGTTTGTGCTAGGAATTTCTCATTTAAGCACAGTGTTTTCCCCCAGACAGTTGCTGATTTGAATGCCCCCCCCCCCCAGCACCTTGAGATTATACAGATTTGAGTCTCATTTAGTGCAACTGGATTATATCAAGATAGGTTTCCCAGGTCAGACCAGTCATAAAAGGGAGATTTAACTGAGACAGTACGACCAGCCCCTGCTCTCACTTACCAAAAGCCCCAGTAGATGAAGGTGTAGGCGTGAAGGAAAACCCAGACATATTTGGAGGAAGGACGTAATGCCTTGGTCCTTGGTTTGTTTAGGACAAGGTAGCTAAGTCTTAGGCAGTCATAATCCGGTTCAGCAGATGAAGATAAGGCTGGATAACGCGGCGAGAAAAGTTCATATGCACCTTTGGTTAGCACGTGCTTCTAATGCTCATCACGATCGCCATGAGTCGCCGGACGACGAGTACCTGTTACTATGGTTCCGCCCAGGATTTCGCTTCGCTTCTTTCGTGACGCAGACTGGCAGGGGTTGAGTAGAGCTTAGTTCTCTCATTGGGGGCATGGTCCCCGTCGAAAAATAACAATATACATGATTTCATAAGTACTCAACATTGACTGTACAAGAGATGACTTGAGATAACTTGGGCCTTGGCTTTATACACAATGAACTGTGATTCTATTGATGATGTTTATCAAGTGTTATCTGCACGTGGGTATCAGTTAGAGTGGCCTATGGTATTCATAGGCCTACGAGAGGACCAGAGTCCATCTCCCACTTCACACAGTTCGCTCTTCATCCAACAGCAGGTCAACGAGGACATTGCGTCGTATCTACCTTCGATTGCTAACTCGGGTCTGTACATGCTGTGTCTCAGCCTAGCTGTTCGTCATACATAAAACCATAGTGAATTGACTACCGAAAATTTGGGGTGCAATCTCAAAGCCACGTTCTGTAGTGCAGTTAACCGCTTTCTGAAGTCGTGCTTTCAGCCCTGTATCCATGTTTGCATCACTAGGTTAGTAACCTCTATAGGTATCAGGGTTATTAGCTTTTTTTAATCTTTAGTCCCAGCGCTTAGCTTCAGCTCAGTGGTAACATGTTCTAGTGGTTGTAAATGAGTCCCACAGACTTAGATGTTTTGCAAATATGAGTCAAGAACTCACTATGGCGAGTTAATGTGAACCCTGGGTATTTGTGCTCAATTATTAATTCAGTAGCATCCCCAAATATTTTTTATAGCATATGTTTATGCCGAAGGCTTACATTCATTCAGGTCTATTTCACCCTAAAAGATAGCGAGTATAACATGAATTGGGAACACCTCGACAAACCAGGTGACATTATATACCCATCAAAGTGATTTGCAAATGAATTTATACCACTTTTTTACATTGTGCAGTATCATATCTATGGTAAATTGAAGGAGAGGAGGATGTCTTCCATGGTGGGGGTGGCATTATGCTTATGAGCCCATGTTAGAGGAGGAACAAAAGCATTTGCACATCACTGTAATCTGCTTTGTTTGCCCTTGATCCTTCCCTTAATGTGCCACTGCTGTCTCGTCTGCACCAAGACCACAACACGTGATCCAATTTTTTGTGTAAGGAGCAATATTGGAGATGGGGAAAGTGTTTTTCATGTCTACAGCACCTAAGCACAAGGAACATCCCATGCACAAATATTGATGCTTAGTGAAACATTGTCTGACTCAAATGAAAAACACTAGTTGGTGACTGGACAGAGGCATGTGTCTTATCTCTGAGGATAGAGACACTTCTATATACGTTGCTTTCAGATTGAATTGGTACCTTCTTGGGTATTGGGAAAAGCACTACTCCCAGAGGATCCACAAAACCATCCAGGTTGACCTGGAATCAATGAATGTGCTCCTATGGGAGGGTACCAGCTCATCTGAAAGCAGTGTACTGGGTTTACTTGCAGGTCATAAGCCCTTTAGCTGCCACAATCTAGCTATGATACTTATGCATGACACTCTTTAATATAGATGAATGAATGGTGGCTGAATGAGTGAATGAAGTCAGCATCCTAAGAATTTTGAGTTCTGTTCTGTGTATCTTGTCTATCTCATGTGAAGCCAGCATCTTGTATGAGGCACAGCGACAGGAGAGAAAGATGAGAGCGTGGAAGAATGGTAAATGAGGGGAAAGACAACCACCATGAAAAGGGGACTAACATAGTACACAGCTGACTTCTGTCATCACTAAGGATGGGGTGGTCAATTGACCATTATTGACCACTCTTTTTTTATTCAATGAGTTAAGACATTTTTATAGAGCTCATAACTGCGGGTGTTTATCCTTCAGCACTAGTTTCAGGCATAGTCTGTTGTCCATGGTCTTTCAACCTTCATGACTTTGAAAGTTAAGTTTCAACATCCAAGTTACAGCTTTAGAACTTTAGTTTATTGCAAGGTCTATCATGGTCTTGGTCAATAGTTCATATCAGAGAATCAAATAATTCTGAGAGTCTGTGATCAAGGGACTGATCTAATGTTCCAACTCATGCAATCAATATGGTAAAGTCTATCTTAGTGAGGAGATGGTGACTGATCAGCATGGTCATTTATGGTCATATACAGTCATAAGGCCTAACCTCTTGTTGGGCTGGTTGACCATTATTGTGCGAAAATGGTCAGAAATGACCAAGTTGACCTGTCAATTTACCAGATAGGGTTTTTGTGAGATATCGGATATCCTATGGCATGTATTCAACTGAAGCCAGATAGTTTTGCATGCGAGCCATCTATTTCAATTTTGTTATGAAGTAATACAAACAATTGTTTCCCTGATGTCTGAGAGTATGACTCTGAAAATATTTTATTGTCATCTTCGGCTAAAAACCAAAGCTGTTGATTGATACTCTTGTAGAACAGAAGCCTACAAAAAACATGATGATTGTGGCACCACTCAGTGTCTTCATTGGAATCTATTCTTGGAGCATGAATGTGTAGAATAGATATTCATATTGTTTGTTTTTTTCAATGATGGAAATAGGTGGAAATGGAAAAAAAGAATCTGATTCTTTTTTCAATGTTTAATATTGGACAGAATTTAACATCATTGTATCTTTTGTTGAAACTTATTTTCTTCTCCATTCACATATGCCTTGTTATAGCTTACAGCTGGAGGTCAATTTATTTCAAGTCTTTGATAAGTTTTTGTCTTATCATAACTAGAGATCGACCGATATATCGGTTGATCTCTAATCATAACTGATGTTGAGCAGTAAGCTTTGATTATTTTTTTCCCCATTTAGGTTGGTTTGTAGATATAAGGGAGGGACCCTTTGCTTTCTGAAGTAATGGGATCTCAAGGTCAGCTGGAAGCTAGACCAAGAGATGAAGCACAGCCCTCTTCCCTGTCATCATCTGGCTCCTTTCTGTCATCCATCAAGAATGTCTTCTTTGTTGTTGGATCTTCAGCCATCATCTTTATTGCTTGTCGCAATTCCATCACTTGGTAAAACTCTTTCATTTGTTCTTTTTACCTTAAGCCAATCCATTGAGCCAACCTGCTTTATGCAAAAAAACAAACTGAGATAATTCTACTGTAGCTCTGCATACATGCATGTGGACATATTTGTGTGCACTAGAAGAAAAAATGAATTCTGATGGGATGGTTGAATAGAATCATAAGGAAAGTTAGACCTGAAATCCAGTTTGAACAAGCATCCAGCTTGGAAAACCTTGCTGCTTCCTTTGTGCATGATCACATTCATCTTATAGTCCAATCCAGCTTAAGAGACAGATGCTACAAGCACACTTGCTTGTTTAACATTGTGTGGGAAAAAGAGCCATTACCTAAGCTCTAAATGACCAGTTTCATTAACATTTTTGTGAAATGACCTGTACATGCTGTATATGATATAATGAAAATTTTCTGATGATAACTTTTATGGCTTTCTATCTGCAATTCATTTTGGAGCTTTCTTGGGCACCCAAGAGTCTTTACATGAAGGCATCTATGTATCTTTTCTCAGGCTGTTCATATTTGAATTAGAGTTTCATTTATTGTTCTTTCCTTTCTCCATAGGCATGCACAACAGTTTTGGGGAGCATCTGCTGACTTTTGGGAAGCTCTGTGGGGAGCATTTCTAGATAAATTCATCCAAATTTTTGGGGAAGAAGACCTGGGTTTTAAACTTTTTCTTTATGGAACTCACATTCTTGGATTCATAGTGTATTGGCTCTTTGGAACCATATACACAATTATGGATTTGACTTTGAAGCCTGAGTTCATCAGGAAGTACAAGATTCAGCCAGGGTTCAATGAACCTGTGGAAAAGAGGAAGGTTGCCAAGGTATGCAACTTATCCTTCTCTTTTGATGCTGATGCAACCTGAAAGATAGCTCACACTTGTCTCTGTGTTCTTCACTTTTTGACAGGTTATTGGATGGGTACTCTTCAATCAGATTGTTGTTGGCATGCTTTTCTCTATGATTGCCTACCCCCTTATTGCATGGCGTGGATTCAACATGGACCGCAAGCTCCCCCATTTTGAACAAGTCCTCTTTGAACTGATCATTTGTATCCTTGCTGAAGAAATTGGATTCTACTACTCCCATAGGTAACCAAAGAGAGTAGACTTATGTATAGAGTGGTTAAAAAAAAACGCTCTACTGTTTTTTATGGGAGAAATACAGTTTCATAAATGTAGCAAAAAAAATATAACATTGGATATGTGATCAATATTTGATGGTTACACAGTGTTGAAATGCTTGCCAGCTTTTTTTTTCACCTATGTCATGCAATGCCCATTTAGAGGTGAATTAAAGGTGCTTAGAGATGGATCATCCCACCTCAAGGGAGGTGATTACCTGTGCTCAACCATCTCAGAATTCAATGATTTTTTCAACTTTAAATTTTCAAGGGACAGTTGGATCCAGCTGATACTTGACAGAGAGGTTCATGAGTCTAAGGGTTTTTTTTTTTCACTTTCACAAGATGGCACTGTATCCCAATAGAGGTCACTGCTGTTGATCGGGTGATTGAGGGTGATTAAAAAATGTGTAATGCTCCACCTGTAAACTGTGTAACAGGACATGGCTCAGAGAATTGTTCAGAAAAAAAGACAATCCTTTCAACACCTCCTATATGTCCAATATCAAGAGTTTATAAATCTCATATTTTTTATTCTAATACACGAATCGTAATTTCTCCCCTTTGAAAACAGTGGAGCTTTTTTAAATCACCCTCAGTCACCTGTTCAACAACAGCACCCTCTTTTGAGATACAAGGCCATCTTGCAGAAGGGAAGAAAACCCCTTAGACTCATGAACGTCTCTGTCAAATATCAGTTGGATCCAACTGTCCATTGAAAAGTTAAAGTTGAAAAATTAATTGAATTCTGAGATGGTCAAGCACAGGTAATCACCTCACTTGAGGTGGAATGATTCACCTCTAAGCACCTTTAATTCACCTCTAAATGGGCATTGTACGACTCAACAGGGAGTGCTGAAAAAAAGCTGGCAAGTATTTCAATACCTTGTAGCTGTCAAATATCAATTGCATATCCAACTAAAAAATTTTTGCTACATTTGTGAAACTGTTTTTCCCATAGGAAACGGTAGAGTGTTTCTTTTGAACCACCCTATATTTTCAGATTTCCTGGTTAGCACCTTCACAGACATTAACAAGTTTCACACCAATTTCTCTCTTAGGCTTTTACATCACAAGAGTATCTACAAGCACATCCATAAGATGCATCATGAATGGACAGCACCCATATCCATCACTGCAGAATACTGTCATCCAGTTGAGCATGTTTTTAGCAACCTTCTTCCCCCACTTCTTGGAGTTCTCATTACAGGTATGGAAGAAAGTGTTCATCTCCCACAAAAAGTGCATTTCAAAGTGCACAATAATGAATTCATTTATATGTTAATGAAACTTAGATCATTTCATTTCATTGGTCATCCTTGATCATGTGTGCAATGTCCCTAATGGGGATGGAATTATGTATTTTCAAATGAAATTTTAACTTTCCAACACAAAAAAACTTGAGTGGTGGAGGCAAGAAAGGAGAAGGGCATTCACCTGAACAGATCCATACCTCAAGGTCCATACCTGGTCCCTCTTAGTTCCTCCCTCACACATTCTCTATGATCCTGACTCATTCCCCTTCTTGCTATGACAGAAATTCAATCAGAGAAGGAGGATCATGAGTAGCTCTGCCTTAAAAGGGGCTCAGGATTTCAGGTTTTATTTCCTCTTTCCTAGCTGAGGATACCTCACAGCTCAGTTGTTTTTTTTTGGTAGGATTGGTATATCCTTGATTTAAAAAATTTAGATTTAGATTATGCTATCCAGGTAGTGATTTCCAGAAACTTTTTGGAAACCTTTTGAAACTTGGCTATCGTAAGTCCCGTTGGTTGTACATCATTTGTGCCGAATATGAAGTTTCTAGGCCACTCCGTAATGGAGATAAGGCCTTTCGAAATACGGAAGTAACTTTATGGACACCCTGTATATTTAACTGGAATACATACACATCAGCTACTGCGTTATGTATTGTGGGTCCCATATTTTTCCCATAAACTGTAAATGCTGAGTGTTATCAACACATCATTCAAGAATTCATTGCTCCATACTCAATTCAAGTTCCTCAACAACATAAAAAGCTGTATATAGGTGTGCTGCTTTTCAAACACCCTGAGATAGGAAACCATGTAAACACACTGGATGTGACAGCCTCAAAATTTCCTGCTGATGCCTTGTATGGTGTTCAGCCTGCAGCAATGAAAACTTTGGAACATTTGGGTCACCTAGTGTCACATCTAATATGAGTAGGGAGTTTGCCAAAAACATCAATTATATTGGTTGTTCAGAGCCTTAGTATCAGCTTTTTTTGTAATGTCAAATTAGCAAGTATCTATCTTTCTGACAGGTCAGCTTGACTTTGGTTTGGGCATTTGGAACAGAGGTTTTAGGGTTCATACACAAATGCCAATTTTACAGTGTGAAAAATGAATTGTTGAATATGGCACCTAGCATATAACTGAAAATACAAAATATCCACTTCAACCAACACTGTTCTATCATGTATGATGAACCACACCTCACATAACATATGTGCCAATTATTTTTTTTATTTGCAAAATCATGCATAATTTTTCTGTATGGATTCTGTCGTGAATCAGAACCACATTGCAAGCCAGTCCAAAGTGGAGCCAATTAACATAAATGTCCATGAGACTTGTTAGTGCATGCCACTTATATGGCATGCACTTATTTCACAGTCAAATAATGGAACTCAGGATCTTTTTGTTGGCAAGCATGGAAAGGATTTTAGTGAGGTTAGTTGTTGCTGAGTGCCTTTTACCCTTGACCTCTATATGTGTTACATACCTCTGAGCATTGCATCAGTGTGGACTGGGGTTTTCAAAACTTCAGAAATGGAACAAAATAAATTTAACCACAATACGAATCAGTCAGCAATCACTTATTCCTCATTTCTGCTTAGTTTCTGAGGCAGTCTCCTAAAATGTGCACTTACACAATATACTTCTGCCAATTTACCCATTGTTCCATGGAGGATAAAATCAAACAGACATAATGTACATATATGCCACTGGTCTGTCTGACAGAACACACTTGTTTGTCTGGTAAAACATCATCATCGTGTCGTGCTTTTCCTGTCCATTACCCCTGAAAGTGTGAATACTAGGAGGCATATTGCTCATTAAACACAACCTTATGTTTAGTTTACATGACATTTACTATGAAGCACCTTGTAAGTACAGAACTTCCTGAGGGATACTTTGGCAGAATTGGGGAACCCTTTTGGCTTCTTCACTGCATTGTCCCACTTATGAGTGTCACAGTAAATACTACCAGAAGAAAGGTATGAAATAAAGTGTACTTGCATCACTCCATCTGTCTTCACCTAAACATTTGTAAAGTTGTTTCATGTCTTGTGCAATAATCCAAACTCAGAAGTTGGTAATTTTTTATGCACAATGTCTCATCTATTCCTGTGGAATGAACCTGAAAGAACTAGACAGGTATTAGGCATGATGTTTCTCTGTATGTGTTTTTGGTTGAGATCATTTTCATTGTGGTTCCTTTGTTGTGCATCATTTAGCTACAATTTATTTGTATTTTATGCAAGTTTAACTTGCATATGACATATACACATGAAGAAATTCATAAGTGTTTCTTGGTTACTTCCTGTCAACCAACAATTTCAAGCCTTCAGATGTTCATCACCAACTTATTGAACTTTACAGTGATAAAGCATTCTCTAAGAAGCAACTGTACCTGTAGCACAGTAAGTCCTCATCCTCTTACTGCCTAGTTGATGGTCAGAACAATTGCCAGGTATGAATGGGAGCTTTTTCCCCATCCTACATATAGTCTGGTTCTTGCACCAAGTGATTACCATCCATTTAGGACACTGAAACATGAATTTAATGGTCAGTGATTCAGAATGGACACTGGGCTTCAAATAGCCATCACCATTTGGCTCATTGGACAGGACCCTGATATCCATGCAATGGGAATTGACAAGCTTCCATATTGTTGGGACAAATTTCTTAATGCATTACGTTCTTATCTGAAAAAGTTTAAACCCTTTCACCTTACTTTCTGATCCACCTGCATGCATTATGGGTCTACTCAAGTCAAGAGATTTCATCCAGGGGCATTTCTTCGTCTATAAGGTATTGGTAATGACAAATTTACTTGTTGATGACTGGAAAAGGACAATGGATTGCTTGCATTCATACAAGTTTTTCTGAGTGGCACAAAATACTGCTTTCAGTCTTTCATTCCCATTTGAAAGTGTACCCTGACAGACTTATAACTGTTTATATTGCAAATAGTGGAAGCACCATGTTCTGAAATATGTCTAAATAATGCAAAATAAAGTAAGGAATTCATTCCTGCCAGTGCACATCTGCTTTTTCACATCTCCTCCAGTTTTGTCTATAAGGAAGAGTGGTGGGATGACATAATTTCATGCAAACTTTTACATTTTGACTATCGACATATTCCCTGAATTGTCCTTTTCACTGTAGAACAATTTTGCAGCATACTTTTCTTTTGACTTTTACATTTCCTCACTTATCTCATACCACCATTATCTAGTTTCCATTCTGTTGGAATCTTGTACTGTTCTTGTGGCATAGTTTTGCAGCAGATGTGAGAGTACTCGCAATATCCATGAATACATTTCTAGCCATGAGATTCCTGCTACTCTGGCTGCAGTTAAAGCTCTCTTTTCATGTGATTTCCCCTCAATATTCCAAACAAGGAGAGGTAATGGTTTTTGCATGGAGGTGGACAAAACCATATACATGCCCTTTCCTCAATCTTTACATTGTATGGGTGAATTTCTTACACCTGACACATTTTTTATTATCCAAGACAAAATCCAACTATTGGATTTTCTTTTGGAAGCTTTGTGTTTATGTATGTCTTCTTGTCATTTCAGGATGTCATATAGCAACAGCATATCTATGGTTCTCCTTGGCCATTATGTCAACACTGAATGCCCATTCTGGCTACCATTTTCCTTTCTTCCCATCACCAGAGTCCCATGACTTCCATCATCTTAAGTAAGCCTAAGATTCTCATACCTTTCCCTACTTCTAATTTCTTGTAATTTCCATGTTGGCTAATATACTTTATTTCAAACACTGTATCTCTATTATGCAGGTTCAACCAGTGCTATGGAGTTCTGGGAGTGATGGATCGTTTCCATGGCACAGATGACCTCTTCCGTAGAAACAAGGCATATCAGAGGCACTTTCTGTTCTTGAGCCTTGTTCCCTTGAGGGAACAGATTCCTGATGACCCCAAGTCCTGTAGTGGGAAAAGCAAATAGGCTTATTGTATCTGTGCCAGTACCACCCATTAAGAACATCAGTGAATTGGTGCTTCTTTCTGCTGTATATCCATATGCTTGCTGCAATATTCTATTACTTGTATATCAACAAAAGGGTCTGTGATAAGTCAGTTTTATGAGGGTATATAGCAATCAATTGTTGTGCAAGTGCATGATCAAGACTGAGTTACGGACAAAAGGATGGTTAGAGTGCAAAGCAATCATATCTTTGTTCATTTTTGTATTGGGAAACATTTCTGTACTCAATTTCATGTGTCTCTGCATGGAGTGGAAATGTTGAGTGGGACTACAGGACAATGGCTACTTAAAAAATGAAGGCATTTCTTTTTTAATAGGAACTTGAGAGGCAATAATGAAATACTCTATAAATAGTAAAGAACATTGAAAAATTATCTACAGCATGAGATTTTCAGTCTTCAATCAACATATGCATATTCTCTACAATGATGCTACTTTAGTTATATGAATGTGCCCTGGGTTCATTCCTGGCCCTTACAGCCTAGATCCATTTAGTAGTTGCACTTACTTCCAAGATGCCATGCAGCCCACTGATTCTTGCAGTCGTGGGAGATTCTTGCGGGAATGCATTTAATGCATCCACTACTGACTGATGCGTTGCCACTCCCTCCTTTTGAAATCATTGAATTTTCATACTGGGCACCTGCTTCATAAGTTTTCATTTAATGCTACAATATACAGTGAAAATAAATCCCTTCTAACTCAAATGTTTGCTTTCTGTTCTTGCATCTCCACATTCAAAGAACCAGATCTCTGGTATTCTCATTTAGTCTAGTTTGCTATGTGTAGGGAGGAAATTTGCAACTGTCAGGCAAGGTTGTTTGCTTGCCACATCTGGAGCCCTCCTTAACCCTTCAAGTATTGAGTTTTTGACCTGACCTAAGTGATGATCATATGGTGTACATAAAAAACTTCTTGAAGGGTTAATGATGTCTCAACCATCAATGGTTCAACTTTGGTTGACTGTGTTGCTTATATTCCCATGGAATCCCATGCAAAATCACATTAAACAAAAAAGTACACAATACGTTTCCAAATTTTCTGTTCCAGCGAAATTAGCAGGAATGCTGATAACACCAGCAGAAATGAGCAGATGAAAAAGTGAATTCGCGTACTGCCTTGCCAGTCTTCTACCATAGGACCTACAATGTGAAAGGAATCAGAATGTGAAACCGATTCATTGAACCTAATACCATGCATCTTCTCTGTAAATATTCCACCAGGAAGCTTAGCTTTATTTCTTCTAAGAATATGCTAGTACTTAGCATTATGTCTTTGAGATGATATGTAACTACATCCGTTAATGCACCATTTTGTATTAGCATGTTATCTCCCAAGTGAATGCTCCAGAAGTGGAGGGGAGACACATGTACTCATCTTTCTACTTTATGAAGGGTCTCAAACTAAAGAAAGGAATGGAGGAAAATGAATCTAAGTAGGGGAGACTGGGGCAAATTGGAATGATTAACGGTTTTCAAGTCACAATAAAGTGCACATCTGACGTGTTCCCTTAGGTGTGATTACTCATCTGTCATTGAACTTGAATTAGAAATGGTCATGAAGGAACCTGAATTATCTCAACATTTTTACAACCATGGAAATTATTCCACTTTGCTCTGGGTACGGGGCGAAGTAGAACAAGAAATCGAAAGTCTCAGCTGAACTTCATTATTTTATTATTTTCTGCCAAGGAAGATGCGCAAGAAAATACGAGTCATTTCTAGCTTGTGGTACGTCCTGGCGCAAGTTGCAACCTTAGGGCTCGTCATCAAAGGCATCCGTCATTGTACAGGGTAACTGGAAACGACAGCCCTTATTCACAGCCTGAACTCGAAAGTGTACGCGAGCAGTAATTACGCCATTCGAAAGCTTACTTAATTTCTTTTTTTTTCCCTCTTATTTCAAAATCAAAATGATCAAGTGTGAATCAGCGAACTCGATTTATAGGTTTTCTAAGTCAAATAAGGAAATAATAAAGTCAAATGCAACAAGGAAATTCAAATGCGTCGTTATGCTGGAAGACGGACTTTTAAGAGAAGCATATTAGACACGTCAAATAGAAAAGTCAAATACGACAGGTATCCAGGATATATCATACCCGTGCGCGGAAAATGCCTTCTCGTTGCATTTTCACAATGTGCGGCTCCCCCTTTTACAATTAATATTATTGGGCAAGTGTAGATACGTCAGGGTTAGTCCAAGCTATGTGCTACCACCAACCAATCGGGGTGGGAGGCCAGATTTCAAATATGAAAAAGGCAGTTTTAGGACTCTTCTCAAAAAGTGCAGCAAATTTGTTTTCCACATTAAATACGGACATAAGAAAGTCAAGCGTGGGAAGGAAATTTACATTCAGCATTAGAACATTAACTTGCTTCAAGAAACATAGGAATGAAACGGCGAAAGAATTGCTAGTAGATATTTAAAAGAGGATTTTCGATCACGATCAAGTGACTGAGTTGGAGGTAGACCACTACTGTAGAATCGCCTTGCCATTCTTTCAGAGTTGGGACATCAGGCCACTACCCCCTCCTCACTATGTCATCACCACTTGAATATGTATTCAATGGTTCCTGCACGCACGATCATACATCTCTACGTTTCTGGAACAGAGTGACACGATGTAAGCGGCTAAGCCACAGCTTTCATGACATGGGGCTGTAACATCCAGGGGCGGATGCAGAAATTTTTCGTAGGGGGGGCGGTTTCCAAGTTCCTACCTACCCCCCCCCCCCCCCCCCCCCCCCCCCCCCCCCCCCCCCCCCCCCCCCCCAAGGCGATTCTACAGTAGTGGTCTACCTCCAACTCAGTCACTTGATCGTGATCGAAAATCCTCTTTTAAATATCTACTAGCAATTCTTTCGCCGTTTTTCGTCAGGGGTAAGAACTTGAGTATCTATTTCACTGGCTCCAATAAAATTTAATGCAGATGCTATTTTGAATACATAAATCAAACCTGGCCATAGGGGGGGGCTATCGGCCCCCCCCCCCCCGTATCCGCCCCTGGTAACATCTGACTTTTTGGGGTCAAATATGCATATCTTGAAAGTCCAACATCCGACAGGTCTGTTTCATCTGATTTTCCTCGAGTTCCTTCTTTGAATGCCCCAGCCGTGAATATTATAACGAAAATTATACTGAAACACAACCTACATGCTGTCTGGCTCCTTTTATCTTGCTGTGTGCCAATTACTGTTTGCCTTGGTTCTGGCTTCGTCTGGGAGGAGGGGGTAGTCACTGTTTTGAGTCGCCCTGTACATTTGTCATGTGCCAATTCGTTGAACGCATGACAATCAGCCGCCCCTGACTTGGCAATAGTTTTGTCTGGAAGGAAAGAGAATATTGTAGCATTTATTTAATAGGAGGGGGTTGTTTTGAAGCAGGAGCAAAGTAAACACTCATGACTAGGTGGAATGGAATTCCATTTCGCCCCATGACTGACTTTTTTCTCTTCAAAAAGTTCGAAAGTTCGAAAGTGAAAAAGTTTGAAAACTCAGAGTTCTCAAGATCTATGTATTTCCTGAGATTTATTGTAAAATGTATATGGCTTATAAAATGAGCCAAGCGTGAAGAGGTATATAAAGTGACTTCATTCTTATTTCCTTACGAAGCGTTATGCAAGTGAAGCCAAAAATAACATCAGAAAGAGCGGGAAAATAGGTTCCGACTGAATATTCAAAATTACCAACCAAAGCGCATGTAGTCATGTCGTCTCGTCTTTGATTCCTGTTGGTAGTACTAAACTCTTATTTTGATAGGTAGCAGGTCCTCTTAAGCTTTTAACGCTGCCTTCTTCCCCGATCTTCCCTTTTTTGGCCGAGGCCTTTAGTGGCCTTCACGTGGCAGCCCAAGAAAAAAAAAAGATAAGAAAGCTAATGTAGGAAAGGAAGGAGCCAAAGTCGAAGAGGAATAGAGGGTTCATCCCATCAGGGCAGCAAGTATTAATTCCGAATTTAAGACGTTGCTCCAACGATCGACAAGAAGCTTGAGAAAGGTGCGAATGGTAGTGACCTTGGACCCTCACGTTCTTCATGGAAGAATTCGTAGGATTTAGTACGAATTCCATGGTGTTCCACGAAACGATCAGCTAAACGCGTTCAGTTTTATCGACCTAAAATTTGGAAGAGAGTTTGCGCAAAAGATGAGATAGACATTTTCCGTACAGCAATTTACATTTTGCGAGATCTTGAAATTTCCATCATTTCCACAACACATTTTCATCATCATCGTAAATACATCAGCGCCTAACGGGTTCCACACATTCACAACCAGACAAACGGAAAAGTCATTCCACAACTTGAGTCTCGCTTGAGGTTTACGCAACTTGAATTGATTCTCCCCAGTTATGTTATTGAATATTTCCATCTGGTCGGAAAAACCCACCGCGCTCCATGTAATCTATCTGATCTGAAACGCCTGAACGAGATCCCTTTCGTTAAACATCGTTCCAATGAACACAGTCCCAAGAGTGTCTACAAGCGCCATTCGTATGAAAGCCCTCTACCTCTTTATCTTTAGCTGTAGCAAGATTCAACGCTGCCTAATTTCGTGCGTACGAGATTCAACACGGCGTGGTTTCATCAGACGAATTTTTTCGATTATAAGTGATTATATGCTGCACCTCTTCGCCTAGCGTGGTGAGACGTCTCCGAAGAAAGTACCGAGTGGTCCAAAAAAAGGAACCAAAATTTAATATCGCATTCATATGGTTTGTGATCTCCCCTCCAATGGTCAAATGGGATAATATCGCTTTCGTGTATGAATGTTTAAAGCAAAACAAAAATATGCTTTTTTGATGTAATGTTTAAATTGTTGCTCTGCAATAGTAGTCGCTGTTTCACCGTTAGGAAGCAACACTGAATAGATGATGTGCCCTGGAGTGGACTGCAGGCACAAAAAGTTTCGAGGCATGTGTACCGTGGCTGAAAACTCAACATCAGAACCAAAATCAACCGTCCACTTCAATGGACATAATGCACGAAAGGGATATCGAATTCTCTTTTGTCGAATGATCGCAAACGTCGAACTTCCTTTTGGTCGAAGTCAAATTTGGTGAATGGCCAAATCGTAGACTGGAAAAAATGTCGAAAGCTACTTTTATTTAAGTCGATGAGCACATGAATAAATTTTTAAAGTCAGAGATGGAGTCAAAAATTCAAATTGCTTCACAACTTCCAAGTGTAGTCTAAACCTCTCAAGAAGTCGAACAAAGGCCTCAGATCATACTCTTCTGTTATCTTCAGCTTTCCCTCTGTCAATATCACATTACTTTCGTTTCTTTGGTGGTTCTTCCCTTTCCAGCTCAATCAGTCGCTGCTGAACTGCTGACTGCTCCGCAGTGATGACGTTCAGGAAATGGAATACAGGGCATGGCGAAAAAAAGACCAACGACTTTCACCTAAATATCTTCCCTCCCGATAGAGTTATTTTCGCGAAACTTTCACATTGCATATATGAGTATGTTTCCGACTGATACCTCAAATTTCACCAAAATTTGTTGTGCCGAAGCAATTCTACCAGCAGGAACTCTTGTCCATTCTCAATGTCTAACTTCTTTTCAATAATTGTTGATAGAATTGTTTCGGCACTACAAATTTAAGTGAAATTTGATGTATCAATTGGAAACATACTTAAATATAAATGTGAAAATTTCGCGAAAGTAACTATTGGGAGGGAAGATATTTAGGTTGAAAGTCGTTGGTCTTTTTTGCCATACCCTGTATAGTTGGATGGTTTCGGCCAATGAAACTGTTCCCCAACTTGTCGTGCCATCTCTCAACGTGGTTATTGGTGAGAGGTTCGTCTCAGAGCACTCTGTCCCTTACATTCCCACATTTTGGAGGGAATATTGGTTCCTTTCGCGGTCTGCCTCTGGGGCGCCGCCCCTCTATGAACGTCTCCCAGAAGTACGCAGATATAAGTTATGTTCCTGCAGGCATGCTCTTAAGCAGTTCCTCGAAAGAATTTAGCATCGAGTCGCACGGGACAAAAACCAGGGCTGTGAGCATCCTGATGGCCAAGGAAAAATTGTCATCATCGTTGTATGTGACTGTGAGACCTTGCGCCTGAACCTGCCGCCATTCGCACTGACAGAAATGAAAGAAGCAAAATTCATGTGTCACATTTGGCAGAGTATCACAGATGGCTGGAATTACTCCAGACTCCACGTCGGAGGTGAAAAATTGAAGTGCTGGCGTCAGTCCTTGAGCCGACATCGTGCGAATGATGGCAGTGAAGATGATAGAGTAAGATGTGCAGTTCTTTTCAGCCATCAGGCACCAGTGGAGCGATGACACACCTCTACATGGACTTGCTTGCACCAATCCTTCTGACATCGGGGTGCAAAGCTGAAGGTCCCATCTACGTACCATCGTTTTGCTTCTGCAAAAATACGGAGAGCCTCAATCGTCAGATCGTCAAAATCTAACAAATCCGAATGAATTGTTTCAAGCACTCTTACCGGCCAAAAACCTTAGGCTCGAAGGCGTGGCAAGGACAATCATCCTGTTTTTTTTTTGTTTTTTTTCTCTCCAAGTATTTTCCCCGTCAGGCTGGCAGAAATTCCTGAGAATATCGAAATCTTCAACAGATGAGGAGTCCGTGTGATCTACAAAAGTTTCGATAGATCGATCGTATATTACAAACCAACACACATCAAAGTCATGACAAATCAGAGTAAAAAGGGAATATGGAATTTCAGTGCTTTCCAGGACTTACGGCATAATTGACAAGAGGACGAGGGCAGATGCGTATCTTCTGTATCTCGTTTGAGGGATGTCCGAACATTTTTCGCAATGATAGTTTCCTTTTCAACTCCATGTGTAGGATGCATTTCGGGTACCTCCTTCAGAATCGTTTCTCCCTCTGTCACGAGACGAACATTGCAAGTTCGATCCTGGCATCTCCAATATATCTTTCCACCCCATGACTTGTCCTTGCTGTACATATAACCACTCTTCACGAGCAAGTCACCATCTTTATGAATCTTGTGAAGCGTAAACGTCATGACGATCCCAGTCGATCCAGAAAATGACAAGACACGTGAGTGACTATGGCAAGAAAAGAAACGAGACTGCTGGGTTGATGGACAAGTACGGTTCCAACCCTTTCCATGGGCGTTAACTTTCTCTGAAGATAGACGATCACTCGAGTTTTAGAAGGCCAGACATGCAGCATATGAAGGCATGAACTACAGTAAACAAAAGACAAAAGCTAACTATTTGCAAAACGAATGGAGTTAACCCAAGACATGCACATTCGTCGTTTTCCGACATATTTCGACTTTCTGACATTTTAGTCATGGTCCGAAATGTTCTACTCTCTCCCATTCTGCCCTTCGACATTTTATGACGTCGACATTCTCGCCATTCGACACAAACATTTTAGACTTTCTGTCCCAGAACCATGGTTTGTTACTGATAGCAGTAATACGTTTATAAATAATGAATTAGGCTCGTCGAACATTATTTTAGGAGTTATGGTGAAGGTACAAACGGTGGGTCGACATGTTGAACATGTCATCCATTGGTGAAATTGGTTTATTGACCTAGAAAGATTTTATTTAAAAATTATTCTATGCATGAAACAAATGAGAAAAACATGTAAAAGCTTAAAACCTTGAATAAACCGAGTGGTGTCTTAGATATTTCGGTTACCTTTTCCTTTGTAGCTTCGACGTTACGGGATTGAACGCAACGAAACACTCCCCAGCATAGCATGTTGACATGAACCGAGTATATATGTGTGTGTGCGCGCGCGCGCGTTGGACTAATGGACAATGACTGCATAGCCGTATGGAGTCAGGAGCAAAGTTCCACCTGAAATCCATCCCTCCCTCAATGAAGCATGCTCCCCCTCCTCCCCCCATTCCTCCTGACTAATAATCCTTCCTCGACGAAGAAAGAATAAAATCTCACTCTTTCTCTTCCATCTCCTGGTACGAACTATATTCACACGTATGTTTTATTCCCGAGACAACATCCCAGCTCCCAGTTTAAAAATCAATTCGTCGGTGCGCCGCCACCAGCTGGCAGATAATCCTTCCAACTGCGAAACAAATATCTAGTAAACTTCTTGAGTTGCCTGAACTTGCAGAAAGTGGCACCCTGTGGTGCTTCGAATTGCTGGGTCTGAATGAGGAACCCTCTGTCCTTGAACGTCTTCTCCAGCTTTTCTCTCACCAGTGACTTCCGGGATTTCCTCTTCGAAGCCAGACTGGAATTCGAGGGAACAGGACGACGATGAGGATGAGAATGATCATGATGATGATTATTCGATTGATTATTCTCGACGATCGATCGCTGATCATCACAGACATCACCGGTGGGATTCACTTGAGCATCGAGAGCCTTTGTGAAAAAATGCAGGTTCCCTCCAGAGTCCACAGAGAGCATCTTCTTCCTTTCCAAACAAGGTTTCTGCCCGCCTCGGAACTTGAATTTGCAGATGCTCACCTCTGCAGCTTGAGACTGAGTCTGAGGCTGAGACTGAGGTGGAACACTGATGGGATTTCGTTTCCCAGCTCCTCTCTTTGTGCTCGAATGCCTCAATTTCCGATTCTCCCGGAGTCGGTCCCAGTCATCCCGGCTCTGCAAGGGGAATGCCGATGGGTCGGGTTGTACGACTGACTCTTGACCTTGATTTTGACCTTGACCTGCGATATCGGGGAATGTCAACGGAGGCGTCTGCAGAGCCTGGAGAAGCAAAGGAGCCGATGGCGACCACCATAATCCCTCTTTTTCTTCCGTCTTCATCTCGGTCGTCTTGGATTCTTGGATCCCGTCCCGTACGCACAGATTCAGGGGTTCCTCCTCCTTCTCCTTATACGGATGCGTCGGCGTGGGATTGAGAAGGAATTCGCGATCCGAAGGGAGGATTCTTCTCAGAGGTGGGATCTTTTTCGCCCGACTGGCCTTGGGCATCACAGGTCGAAGTCCGTAGTTCTTCGAAATCAAGTGACAAATGTCCGCCTTCTTCGGCTTCCGACCCCGACGGGGTTTGCTGTTGTTCAGAGTCATCTGGCCCATATAAGGCAGGTTGATCCCGTTCACCGTCCGCTTCTCTTCCTCCTCGCTCTCGAGATGATTCAAAGAAGCGTCTTCCCCTGGGTTCTCTGCTAGGCACAAGGCCGTCAGCAGTCCCTGGTTCTTTTTCGAGTCGGAAAGGGCCGTTTGGAGGGAAGTGCAGATCTCCCTGGCTTTCAACACCTCATTCGCCGCATCGAAGTTGTACAACGGAGATCCTTCCGATTTCTTCGTGCTCGACGCAATTTCCTGGATAAAGAATGGAACTCGACGCGGCCCGCGTTTCCCTCCTCGTCTCGAATGCCCAATCCTCGTTCTCTTGGATATTCCTCTCGCCTCTCTAAAGTTTATCAGATCAGGGTCTTTTGGATCGTGTCGACTAGTGGAGAAATAAAAATACGCAAAAACTCACTTGTCTGCATTCTCTTCCATCTTCAAAGCGGGATAGAGAGCCGAAGGAAAGTCTCGTGCTAAGAAATGCCTCCCAAATGGTTCCAGGTATGGGTACCTGGACAGGTCTATGCTCCCCCTGAGGAAAGAGAATCGTGTTCACGACACCTGCCAGAACTTCCCAAGACTTCTCTCATCTTACATGAGGAGCCAAAAGGGAACTCACGTAGAGAAGTTAGTGTCGGTGTCCTCAGAGACCTCTTGTTTGATGACCGGATTGTCATCGATGTGTAGCCTTTCTTCGTCTTCAGAATCCTCGTCATCAAACGTCTCATTCCTCATTCCTTCTTCCGCTTCACTATCCATGTATCCTAAACGAAGAGAGAAGCATTAAATGCCTTCACGGATCACAAAGAAGCTATTTTCTCATTCATTTCCCGTTCCAAAATCGCGTGTGGGATTGAGCTCTTTTTGTGCAATCCGCAATCGAGTGACTTCACTCTCTCGAGAGCAGGCTAGAGAGAAAATATGCCCTCTTAGTGGAAGCAACATGCTGCTATTTCTCTGCATTCTAGATCTTTACTTCATTCTAAAGCCGGACTTGACTGAATTTTAACGGCCGGTAGCATCCTAGACTCTATATTGGCATATTGACCTCATCGTTTGGGGATTGAGAGATTTTCACATAACCCCAAGTAACACAGCATGTTGATGAAACGTTTCCGAAATGTTGCCTATGTTGCTCTATGTTGCAA